CCTTTCTATGTTGCAGGACTCAAGGCAGCTTACCATGTAAATAAAACTGCAATTATTTTTTTAAGAAACCATATACAATAACTCAATTTAAAATCCCAATGAGGACTGCAAATAAATAAAAACTAAATTTGTCATAAATAAAACTGTCTTCAGCATCCTCCTGAAGATGGAACGTGAGCAGGCCAGGCACACCTCCCTGGGGAAGTTGCTCCAAAATCGTGGGGCTGCCACCAAAAAGGCCCTCTCTCGTGGGCCCACCAGACAAGTTCCTTCGATGGGTGAGGCAGTCAGGAGGTCCCCTCGCTGTGATCTGAACTCCCAGGCAAGCATGGGAGAAGGCGGACCTTCAGATACCCTGGTCCTAAGCCATGAAGGGCTTAGAGACTAAGCGGTAAAAGCAGGGCTATTTTTGGGCAGGAACGCACAGGAACGGAGTTCCGGCTGGTTCCTGAGGTGGCCACGCCCAGCAGGAACTCATTAGCATAACAGGCCACACCCAACAGCAGAAACTCATTAGGGTTGGCTACATTAGGGGCGTGCAGCCTAACATGCAAAGGAGTTACAAAAACAGCCCTGGGTTTTGACAACAAACAAGGTAAACAGAATAACAAGCAAAAGGTGGTTGTGGCTGGATAACCACACTTCTGGTAACATGGGGGTGCGGCCTAATGTGCTAATGAGCTGTGCTATCGGGGGTGTGGCCCAATAGGCTAATGAGTTCCTGCTGTTGGGTGTGACCTATTATGCTAATGAATTGCTGCTGGGCTTTTTCTACAAAAAGAGCCCTGGCGTAAAAGGGAGTTACAACTGTACTTAAGCCTTCCTGGGGTTTGGGTATCTCATGGGGACAGGCATTTTCTATCTGAAATACATCTTCAGGTTCCCAGTCAGTATTTTCCCCCCCTGTATGAACACATTGGGACAACTGGAATAGCAAAAGCAAGATGATCACCTCTCCTCACCTATCCCCGTTTGTCAGCTACTATCCTCCGATTGCCACCTACTGGCTGCTTCCCTCCTTGAGGGAGGCCCCCCCCCCGCATCAATGAGAGATTGTGCTTTTCGTTTAGTAGCTGCCGCCTTAAGGAGGAGAAGGGGGCCATCTCTAGAATTCTCAGAAGGCATGCAAGGAAGTTTTATTTGCTAGGCCTTTTATGGGGTCTAGGTTCCAGGCATTGGGAGGGGGGCATGTGCAGTTATTTAGGGTTCTACTGTAGTTTGTGTGTTTTGAATCTGAAATCGTAAGCTGCCTTGAGCCACAAAGGAAAGGAAAGGTATAAACATTTAAATAAACCAATGAGTCACTGTGGTGTAGTGGTGCAGGGGTGTCAAACATAAGGCCCAGCAGCTGGAAGTGGCCCTTCCAGGGCTCTTATGCGGCCCGCGAGCAGCTAGTGCAAGGGAGGGAACAGGAAACTGTTTGGGAGGAGTGGGCAGGGCAGAGCCAATCTGATTGTGGCTTCAGCATGGCGGAACAACCTCATCTGCAGCAGTCAAGCAGTGAGGGAGCGTCTGCCCAATGTTGCACTGCTAGGCTTCCAGTCTGCCCATATGAGTTTTCCTTTAGACCCCCCTCCCTGCCCATGGGGCTTTGCAGTGAGGATACACCAACTCAGAGTTTACCAGCTGCTGTCCTTTATACAGTTTATATCAGGGGTCATTTCGTAGAAAAAGAGCTAGAGGAACTCATTAGCATAACTCATTAGCATATGCCACACCCCCTGACATCACCGGAAGTGTGTCATAAGGCCACACCCCCTGACATCACCGGAAATGTGTCATAAGGCCACACACCCCGCCCCCAACGATCCCGGCCGCCGCCGCCAGCCTTGCAGCTCCACTGCCGAGCCCCATGAGGAGCCCGGCGGTGGACCTGCAAGGCCAGCGGGAGTGCAAGGAAGCTCCGCGAAGGCCCTCCCTGGCCCCCCCCCCGTACCTCACCCGGGGGAACTGCGATCCCCCGCAATCCCCCCCGAAACGACCTCTGGTTTATATCTCCGGTACCTGGCATTACATTTGATGGCACACATGGCCCGGCCCAACAAAGTGACATTTATATCAGATCCAGCCCTCATAACAAATGAGTTCGACACCACTGGGTTAGAGTGTTGGACCAGGATTTGGGAAAACCAGGTTCAAATTTCCACTCTGCCAGGGAAGCTTGGTGGGTGACCTTGGGCCAGTCACATATACTTGGCCTAGCCTACCTCACAGGGATGTTGTTGTGAGGATAAAATGGAGAAGAAGAGAACAATAGCATTAAAAAAATGAATCTAAGCCACTTCGGGCTCTCATTGGGAAGAAATCAGGGTATACCAAATATAAATAAAAGCAGGAATCAGTGGTCGATTGTGCTTCCATTCTGCAAGTGTGCAACAACAAAATACTGCAAAGGACAGGATTGCAGAGACCAGGGAACACTCGTGAATTGCTTAATGGGAAAGACTGCGTGTGGACAAGTCTTCATTTCACTGCAGGACACCTGGCAAAGATGTGTCCGCATATGTGCCTCTGCAGCTGTACCTTAACATATAACAGCTCCAAGGATGTGTGAAATTGACTAGAGGATGTTCAAGCAAGGAAAGAGCTTTGGGGGAGCTGCCTGAAATTGATTAGAATGTCGCCTTTATCACACAGGAAAGGCTGCTGAGAATGGGAGATCGGCAAACAAGCCAGGGAAGCGAGCTTTCCTGGTTAGCCTTTCCAATGACTATTATGGAATTGCCAGAGAGTTTCACTGCAAGGCAGTGCAGGCCAGCATTGAAGGACGGCAAAATGGAAACGTCTCCTCCAATACTACCAGAAAGGGGTTATTAATATTATGGGTACATGTACCAGGAAGAAGCATCTTGAGTGAACAGCAATAAAGTGCTGGAATTTGGCCAAATTGGCATTGTGTAAAAAAGAGCAGATCTGCAGTTCACCTGACCCTTAAATATTCCTGGCAGACTCTAATCTGGAGAGCTGGGTTTGATTCTCTGCTCCTCCACATGAAGCCTGCTGGGTGACCTTGGGCCAGTCTCAGTTCTCTCAGCCCTACTTACCTCACAAGGTGCCTGTTGTGGGGAGAGGTAGGGAAGGCAATTGTAAGCTGCTTTGAGACTCCTTAAGGTAGAGGAAGGTAAAGGTAAAGGTTCCCTTGCTCGAAAGCCAGTCGAGTCCGACTCTAGGGTTGCGGTGCTCACTTCCGTTTCAAGGCCAAAGAGCCAGCGCTGTCCGAAGACATTTCCGTGGTCATGTGGCCATCATGACTAAACACCAAGGCGCACGGAACGCTGTTACCTTCCCACTGAAGTGGTACCTATTTATCTACTTGCAATTTCTTGCTTTCGAACTGCTAGGTTGGCAGGAGCTGGAACTAGAGATGGGAGCTCACTCCGTCATGCGGCAGCCCAGGTCTCGAACTGCTGAACTACTGACCTTCCAGAACCTGCAGTTCAGCGTCTTAACCACTTGCGCCACCGCAGCTCCTAGAGGAAAGCAAGGTATAAAAACCTTCTCTTCTTCTTAAAGGCACTACATTGCTTCCATTCTACTCTCAAGACCTTCTCGCTTTGAACTCACTCACCTTTCCTCTAAGGAGTCACAAACCCAATTAACCTGTCTCATATCTCTTTACAACAACATAAACTTTATAGCAGGCCACTGAGTGTCTACCTGAAATAGGCGTCAGCTCCATAAAGTGCTTCAGCTGACCAACCCGATCTTTTATTACACTCCCAACTCTTGCCAATGAAAAGGTTTCAAATTGGCATCACATAAAGAAGGTATTGCAAGAGTGGAAGAGATTGTAACAACCACCTGGTTCCAACTTGGTTTATGGCACCAAGCCTCAGAAAAGGTGTACAGATTTCTGGAGAGATGCAACATTACTACCTCCAATGCAAAGTGTTTTGCATGCAAAATGGGGAGGGGAGGAGCTTTTCTGGTCTACTTCGGAGCCATTTGTGGCAGAACTGAAATGTGAGTCTGGACAAATGCAAAATTCGACAGACTCTCAGAACTATGCAAGTTTCATTTTGAAAATCAACTTTACATGCAGGGCTTTTTAAAATAAAGTATATGTCAAGATCTTGTTTTTGTAACCAAAGGCAATAATATTTTTGTTTCCAATTGCTGAATATCTTGCATATCTTATTTTCTAGCACTGAGAAGCCATTTTTCACACACCTCCCTTTCTTTTAATTTGTTTTATATATACATAAGTTGCAGCTGACTTATGGAGACCCTGTACGGTTTACAAGGCAAGAGATGTCCAGAGGTGGTTTGCCGTTTGCCTACCTTTGTGGTGGCTTAGAGGTTAAGACGCTGAGCTGCAGACCGGAAGGTCGGTAGCTCGGCAGTCCGAGACCCGAGTGCCATATGACGGAGTGAGCTCCCGTCCCTGGCCCCAGCTCCTGCCAACCTAGCAGTTCGAAAGCAAGAAATTGCAAGTAGATAAATAGGTACCACTTTGATGGGAAGGTAACAGTGTTCCGTGCACCTTGGTGTTTAGTCATGCCGGCCACATGACCACGAAAACTTCTTTGGACAGCACTGGATCTTTGGCTTGGAAACGGAGATGAGCACCGCCCCCTAGAGTCAGATTCGACTGGCTTTTGAGCAAGGGAAACCTTCACCTTTTCTTAACCTGTTACCTTTGTGTTGTGACCCTGGACTTCCTTGGTGGTCTCCCATCCAAATACTAACCAAGGCTGACCCTACTTAGCTTTTGAGATCTGATGAGATCAGGCTAGTTATAATTGATTGTAATTTAATTATTAAAATTAACCTTATTTATGTTATCCTGTTATGATACGACAGTAGTTAAGAATTTAAGGTAATATAGACAGACAGACCAGGGCATCTGTGGCTCTGTACAGACCCAAACCACAACTCCAGTTGTGTTTTGAAATGGTATTTCTCCAGTTTCCACAAACAAGTTAGCGTCATACCAGAGAAAGGAAGGCAACTCCTTCCAGGGGCTCCCACTGTTCATCTGCTCTAAGAAAATATCTTACCTGGACCACAGGGTGCCCTCCGGTTGGAGCTTTGACTGCCCCGCGACTCCCTTCCGTCTCATAATGGGCACGATGGTGGGGCTTTGGCTGCACTTCAATCCGCAGTTCGTAAGAGCCGGAATGGCTGGCTAGAGGCCATTCAAGTGGTGGGAGGGATTGCACAGGAATGCTGGCCCAGAAAAGAGAAATCCATGTAAACACTGTTATAAAATACAGGTTAGGCTTGTTGTTGTTTTTTTTTAAAAAAAGTCCCACCACACTCACAACATACCATCAAGGCTAGGACTCGGAAAGCCCATCAAGGCAACATTTTATGTTTGACTACAATCACTGCTGACACAAAGCTTTACTCAAGACCCACCCTGGACAGCAGCACTAGAGGGGAAAGGATGCATTTGATGTAGAGTCTGACCATTGGTATATCCAGCTAACCCCTTGTTTCTGTTGTAAAGCTAATGTAGGAGAGGCACTAGCACAGGAAACAAACCAGAGAGCAGGAGGACGTGTGGATGTATGCAAACAGATGTGTATGTGAATGTTTAATCCTTACTCTTGCCTGCTACTTATCCCTGCGAATGCTCTTGCTCTGAAATAGATCTTTTTTTTTGTA